ACATTACAGTTATGAAGTAGCAACGAAAATAATTTTATGGTTGGGTCACAACATGAGGAACTGTATTTAAAGGGCCAGAAGGTTGAGAACCACTGTCCTAGAACATTCTATTCCTCTTCCGCCAGCGGCTGACCATCCCATTCACCGCTGAACCTCCAGTGCCTGGCACGTGACAGGTGCCCATAGGTGTCAGGAAAATGAATGAAGGTGCACACAGGAAAGACAGGGTCACCCCAGCCTGGGGTGGGGATTAAGGTGACCTTAGGGTGACAAAGCCACAGGAAGACCTAAAGGCAGACCGAAGGAGATGATGCTTGAGGGTGGAGGCCGACATTTAGAACTTTCCTTCAGACGTCACCTCCTCCAGGCAGCCTTCCCAACTTTCACCGCCCCAGAGTTCCCTCCTCTCCTGCCAGGGGAGAGAGTGAAGGGAGCAGAGGTGGGAGCAGGACAAGGGTAGAAACGGAGGATGGGCCTAGTTCCTTCTGGTTCCAGCTTCTCCCTGGGCACCTCCTCCACTTGTCCTGCACACCGGACAGAACCACTCCCTCTTCCTCACTTGCACTGCTGGACCAGCCACGCCACCCTCCAGCCCCACCCAGCCCCAGCATCCTCATGGGCCGTCACCAAGGGGCCTTGCCGCATCAGGCCCCGGCTATGCATCCACAGCCTGTGGGTTTCAGGGCTGCTGGCGGGACCACTGTCACTCAGAGGCTCAGCTCGGGCCTCTTGCTCCACCGGGTGGGAGGGAGGCAGATGGGCCGGAGAAGGCAGGCGGGCCTGGCCTAACTAGGCGTGACTGGGTGACGGCGGGAGAGAGGTGCGGGGAGCGGAGAACGTCACCGTTGGGTCACCCATACAGCCATTGCGATGGCTGTGGAGAGAGTGACAAAGACCTCTGTCTTTCCAAGAAAGTCCAGATCCAGGGAAAGGAGTGGCTGCCAGGCCCTCAGAGCATCACCGCCCACTGCCAGGGAGCAGAGCTGACCCACGAGGGCCCAGCACCCACGCTCTCCTTTTCCAGCAGCTCTGCGGGCCAGGGATGGCATCCGAGGGGCCCGGGAGGAGCAGGGCCTTCCCGCTCTGGCCAGCGTTTGCAGACTGCCCGGCTGGATGAGGAAGACTGGCTCCCCTCTTACTCCAGGGAGAGTGCCTTTGTCCGGTGCCTCTCCGAGCCTCCATTTGCCTCCCTGTAAAATGGGGATAGCTAGAGCCCCTCAGAGGGGTTCGGAGGATTTAAAATAGGCAACCAGAGCTTGGCAAGGTCAACACTTCTCTCCCGCCAAAGCTCCAGGATGCCGGCGACTGAACTAACACCAAAAAGGTGTTGACTTGCTCAATGGACAGACTGAATGATTAACCAGCCCAACGGACAGTTTAAGTTCAGCCTCTTCTTCAGAGCCTCGCGCTGAGGGAGGGGCGAAATGTGAGAAGACAGGGAGGAGCTCCTCCTCCTCAACCCTCCCCTCTCCTCCCCCCAGGAATCCTGCCCCCCCTCCCTGCCCGCCCCCCCCACGTGTTTACACTTTCCCCCCTTACAAAACCCAGAAGAAGGCTGATGGAGTCCGGAGAAAAGGCCCACGTGGTTATTAGCAATAAGGCAGACCTGGGTCTTCTAAGCTCAGCTTTGCCACTGCCTGTGTGAGCTGGGGCAAGTGCCTTAACCTCTCTGTGCCTCAGTCTCTTCATCTGTAAAATGGAGCCAGGCCCCTGACCGTGCAGGATTGCAACTAGAAAGGAATGGGTCGTGCACACAGCAGGAGTTTAGCAAACTGAGTTCCCACGCTGGGCCGGGCCCACTCGTGCTCATCGGAACTGCCGATGCTCTCTGCCAGGGACAGCCCCACAATCGATCATAAAGCACATTCCTTCCTTTGCTGTTTCGTTTCCTCATTGTACACAACGGCAAGCCGGGTGGACTGGGTGCCCATAATGTTATCTAAGCCATGGATGGGGAGGCACCACATGTGGGAGGAAGAATGCAGGACTTTGAAGCTAAATAAACCTGGATTTCAATCCTCGTCTGTCAACCGGATGAGCCGTGTGAGCTGTGGCTTCCTTACCTGTAAGGTGGAGACGATAACCCCTACCTTGCAGGGCCGTCGCACGAATTAAATGCACTCATTCATTCAACAAAGGTTTCCTGGGCATCCACTGTATACTAGCCACTGGTCCAGGTGCTGACCATAGGGCAGGGAACAAATAGACAAAACCCTCCCTCTTTAGACAATAAACAGCCGGCACGTGGTGACCCAGGTTAAGGAGAAATGCGAAGAGGGTGGAGGGAGGGGGGAGTGCTGGGGACAGGGCCCCTGATGGAAGCAAGGGGGGTGGGGGCGAGCCATGGGGGCGCTGGTGGAAGAAGGTTCCAGGCAGAGGGTTCAGCAAGTGCAGGAGCCTTAAGGAGACGCGTGCCTGGCATGTAAATGCAGCCACATATGCAGGAAGCCTGGCACGGAATCCAGGTGCTCGGCAAATGCCAGCTCTCTATTTCAAGACCCGAGGAAGAAACCCCACGCATGTCCTTTTCCTGAGAATGAAGCAAGGATTTCTACAGGGCAGGACTGAGCCAAGTGTTCTTTCAGCCTCAGATGCAGGCGACACAGCTCCACTGCCGGTTTCTGAGCCCCTGCCAGGCACCAGGTTCTGAGCTGGGCAACCAGGGATACAAGATGATCCAGACCTGGTCTTTGACCTCACACCCCCCAAGGCGAGTCATGGAGGTGGGCGACCACCACGCGACACGGTCAGATGTACCAGCAGAGACCTAAGAAGGGATCTAGGCAGCAGACCAAAGGATGGGATTGGGTGTGGGTGGTCAGGAAAGGCTCCCTGGAGGAGGTGGCAACTACGCTGGATTTATTTTTTATTTTTTATCTTTTATTGATTTCAGAGAGGAAAGGAGAGGGAGAGAGAGATAGAAACATCAATGAGGAGAGAGAATCATTGATTGGCTGCCTCTTGCATGCCCTCCACTGGGGACTGAGCCTGCAACCTGGGCATGTGTCCTTGACCGGAATCGAGCCCGGGACCCTTCAGTCCACAGGCCGATGCTCTATCCACTGAGCCAAACCAGCTAGGGCTAGGCTGGGTTTTGAAAGTTGGACTAGGCGAGAAAGGATAGTCCAGGTGTGGGGAGCATCACAGACTGAAACGGCACAGTGGATGTGAGAAACGAACTGCAGGCAGGTCCTTGTGGCTCAGGAGTTCCAGTTCTGTCCCCTGCCTCAAACTTAGTGCGAGCTTCAGCCCCAGGGGAGAGTCTGAATTGCCCGCACTTAGCTACTGCAGCGGGTGAGCCCAGCCCAGCGTGGCCCAGGCCAGAGCCGGGCCCAGTGGACTGAGACCACAGAAACCTCCAGCTATATTTAGCTCACCTCGCAGCCTCTGTGCCTTCGCTCACCCCAACCTGACCCACAGGTGGCAGAATGGCTTTTTTACTAGAACAGCATGAACGTTTCTTGGTTAAGAAATCCTGAAAAGGGGCCCCTGCCTCCACGCCGTGTCTTCCTGGCTGGGAGATGCTGCCATATTTGCCATCACCCCGGACACCTCTGATTGGGTGGGTGGATTCCCGCCAGGGGGCAACAGCCCTGTCAGTCAGCGGACCTGGGTTCAAGTCCTACATCTGCCACTGACGCACGGGTGACCTCGCCTCTCTGAGGATTTGGAGGTTTGAGGGCAGTGGCCCTAAAGCTGCCCAAAGGTGTAGAAAAGTAGGAGTTGGCTCCTCCTCCAGCAGCTGGCCTTGGGAATCCCCGGCTCAGCTCCGGCCACTGCAATCCCCTCCAGGGGAAGGAACAATGACTGCTTGGTAACACCTAGAAGGGAGGGCTCTCTGGGAGTGTGGGAGCAGAGATGGGCGATGGGTCCCTCTCCTCCTAAGCCTCACACTACATTTACCCACAGCTGACTGCCTCCCCACCTAGCTGTGCTTTTGTACTTTGTGTGTGTGTGTGTGTGCTTTTGTACTTTCAACACACACACACACACACACACACACACACCTCACCTTCTGCATAAAGGATGCTACAAATGCCCAGCCGTCAACCAAAATAAAGACTCATTCTAAAGACATGGGGGATGGGAGAAGGGCTGGCCGGCAGACTGGGGTCCCCACCCAGACCCTCCCTCTGCTAGTGGTGTGACCTCGGGCGAGTCACTTCCCCTCCGCTGAGCCTAAATTTCACTTGTGAAACTGAAACCCACACCCTTCCAGGGAAGCTTCTTTGCATACCCTCTGTGCAAAGGCGAGGACATGCAAAGTGCCGGGCACGGAGCCTCCGCGCGCGCGCGGATCTGTTCCACGGTGACCCGGTATCTAGCAGTGAGACCTCCGCTGCCCCCACTCCCACCCTCGGAATCCCCTTTCTCTGCCCCCCGCGGTTCTGTGCTGGTTTAACTACAGGGGAATGCGCTCTGCGGTAGCGACTCCGAGGGGCTAGAGTCCCTAGTTGAGCGGACACCAGAGGGGGGCGCAGCCGGGGGTGCACATGGGAACCTGGCCAAACCGAGGCAGCTTGTGCCGCGGAGGCGCTGGGCAGCTGTAAGCTGGGGTGCCCCTGAGAGCACCCCCCACTCTCAGTAGCTGCAGTCTCCACACAAAGGTTGGCTCTGGCCGTCGGAAGCCCTGGGGAGCCCGGCTCCAGTCCCCACCCCCCACTCCCTGGGCGCCCCAAGCTCCCTCATCAGCGCCCCCAGGCTGGAACAAAGGCGAGGGGGCGCACAGCATCGTCCCGGCGGCCCCTTCGCTCATCTGGCCAAAGCCGGGAGGAAAAGGATGGGGGTCCCCAAGGTAACCAGGACGCGGTACCCGCCTTCCCGGAGCGCAAAGCCACCCGCCAGGCGCACACGGATATGGGGTCCAAGAAGCACTAGACTCCAGCCCGCTGGGCGCCGAGGATTCCAAGGCGCGGGTGGCTCCCCGGAAGTCCCCCAGCTGGTCCCCCAGGGAGCGGAGCACCCCAGCGCCCGCCTCCCGGGCAGGGCTCCCGGCGTACCTGGCAGGGTCCTGTGCGCCGTGTTGCCCATCGCTGCTTCGGGGCGCGGCGTTGGCAGCGGCGCGCTCAGGGCGCACGAACGCTAATTGCGCGGTGGGCCGGGGACCCGGGCCGAGGGCGGGCGGCGGGGCATCGCGGCTGCACGGGCGAGCCTGCCGGCGGCAGCTGGGGCGACCGCCGGGAGGGAGGCGGCGGGAGGAGAAGGCGGAGCCACCGGCCCGGACCCGCCAGCTCCGCCCTCGCCGCCTGCCGCCTCCAACCGCGCAGGGAGGGAGGGGCCGCGGCCGCCGCATCTTTTGAAAGTTTGCACCGGGTGGCGGGAGCTGAACCGCCGGGACTCCCGCCCTCGCCGTTCCCGCGCGCCCGGGGCAGGAGGACGTGCCAGGCAGCTGGGTGCCCGCGGTGTGCCGGGCTTGTCAGCCTGCTGACCTTGCACTCATTCTGTCCAATAGTTTGAGAAGCCCTTCTGTGCGCCAGACCCTTTCAGGCGCCGGGCCACAGGGGACCACGTCTTAGCCCCCAAGGAGTACATATGCGGGGTTCGGGCGGGGAAAGGACGCACACACAGGCAGAAAGTCACGGCGGACAATGCCGAAAGGGCTTGAGGGGGACAGTCCAGCCCAGTGACTGGGCAGTGGGATCACGTACCTACAATTAGAAGAGACTTCGGCAGAGTCCAAAGGTTGGGAGGAGGGACCCCACATTCATGAATCCACTCACTCATTCAAATATGTTTTTAAAACTATATTTTTATTGATTTCAGAGAGGAAGGGAGGAGAGAGAAACATCAATGATGAGAGAGAATCACTGATAGGCTGCCTCCTGCACACCATGGATCGAGCCCGCAACCATGACCTCCTGGTTCATAGGTGGATGCTCAACCACTGAGCCTCACCTGCCCGGCTCGCATTAAAATATTTATTAAGCGCTGGCCGGTTTGGCTCAGTGGATAGAGCTTTGGCCTGTGGACTGAAGGTTCCCAGGTTTGATTCTGGTCAAGGGCACATGCCTGGGTTGTGGGCTCAATCTCCAGTAGGAGGCAGCCGATCAATGATTCTCTCTTGTCATTGATGTTTCGATCTCTCTCTCTCCTTCCTCTCTGAAATCAATTTTTTAAAAAAATTGAGCACATCTTATGTCCCAGGCTCTGTGCTGGGCACTGCAGATCCAAACAAAGCACGCTGAGTGGTGAAGACAGAAACAGCCATTAACATCACAATGTAATGATCCTAGCCAGAGAGAAGAAACAAAACAAGAGCTATGGGGTGACTTCGGGGGACTCGGGGAGAACCTGGGGGCGTGTCAGCTCCATCTGATGGACAATAGATGGGCATGGGAAGAGCTAGGGAGCGGGTCGGCAGAGGGAGTAACACATTCCTCCTTCATTCATTCACCCCACAGGTATTTGTGAGCACCCCTCCTGTCTGTGCAGGAGCCCACACCACACTGGGTGGGGAGGGAGGGAGGCCTGCTAGCTCCTGCCCTCACTGGGCTCCATTTTGCAGATGGGAACACAGGCGACCCAATTCCAAACCAGCCCCCTTCCCCCTTGGCTCTACTTTCCATGCTCTCGACCTTATGAAATGCCATTACCCCCACTTCCCAGATAGGCAATAAGGCTCACGAGTGGAAAAGAAGGGGAACAGCAGGCCTGGAGCTGTGTGAAGAAGGGGGTATCCAGGAGAGACTGCCCCTCCCCCACCACCTTCAGCTCGGTTTGTCCGGTGTCCTTTGCCAGGAGTGCCTGAGCCAGCCCAGAAGGTTCTCCTTTAAGACCAGCTCAAAGCCTCCACCTCCAGGAAGCCCTCGGTATTCCCCACCAAGTCCTGACTCATCATATGTCTGATACTTAGGCATATACACAAGTTGCTTTCCCCCCGAGTTCCCAGTGCATGCTCAGGGCAGGTTTTGTAGCAGTCACCCCTCTGTGCTCTCCACTGGCACATGGGAAACTTCCTGAGGGCAGGACCAGGCTGTTTTCTTTCTTTCTTTTTAATTTATATTTTTATTGACTTTTAAAGAGGAAGGGAGAGGGACAGGGACAGGGAGAGGGAGAGAGATGGAAACATCAATGATGAGACTGAATCATTGATCAGCTGCCTCCTGCACACCCCCCACTGGGGATCGGGCCCGCAACCTGGGCATGTGCCCTTGACCGGAATTGAACCCGGGACCCTTTAGTCCGCAGGCTAATGCTTTATCCATGGAGCCCAACCAGCTAGGGCCAGGCTGTTTTCATTTATGAATCCCCAGTGCCCAGCACAAGACTGACATACACAGGGACTCAATACACATTTGAATAAACTGACACAGAGATGAGTTGCTCTAACTGGGAGAAGCAAGGAAAGGAGGGAGGAAGGTGGGGTGAGGAGAAGAAAGGGGGAGGGAAGAGTTTAAAGGAAGGAGTTTCCGTTGAGAGTCGCCTGGGACTCTGGTATGGTCAATAGCGACATGTGCTGGGAGAGACACAGCAACCAAACAGGAACACTTACACAGAAACAGTCTCTAGAACAAGGTGCAGGTGGCGTTGGGAGAGGGGGATCCCTGTCACAGGGGGTGTGCAAATGGAAGCAGGGGCACACTGGGCTCGGGCAGCAGCCTTCAGCGGAACCCCTCCCAGCTTTGACGTCCACCCCCCACCCTTAACCACATCCAGAAGTGCACAGACTGTGCCACCCTTCCTTGGCACCAGGACTCATGCTTGGATTGCAGGGGCCCCTGGGTGGGGCTGACTCTTGATTGTGTAGTGTTGGCACAGTCTCCCATGGCAGTGGGTAGAGGGAAGGGCCCTGGCAGGGCTCCCTGGCACTGCTCCCCGGGGCATGCCATGGCAGGCCCTACTCCTGCGATACCAGGCGGTCAGGTGCACCTTGGAAAAAGGGTGCACATTGAGCTGAGGGGTATGAGCACCGCTGACACCTGGTGAAAAGACCCTCAGGGCAGGGATCTGCAACCTTTTTCATCTCGTGGCACACATACATTAATTACTAAAATGTGCGGTGCACCAAAAAATATATTGTCTGCCCAGCTGGCGTGGCTCAGTGGTTGAGTGTTGACCTATGAACCAGTAGGTCACGGTCAATTCCCGGTCAGGGCACATGCCCAGGCTCAATCCCCAGTAGGGGGTGTGCAGGAGGCAGCCAATCAATAATTCTCTCTAGATGTTTCTATTTCTTTCCCTCTCCCTTCCTCTCTGAAATCAATAAAAATATATTACATTTATATATATGATCTTTTTTGCCAATCTGACAAAAAATAGGTACAATTTGATTCATACAGGACAGCTGTTATTGTGTTGGGTATTATCATTCTTTTGTGATAATCCAAGGGAAGAGGTCAGTGCCCCCGACTAAACAGTCAGGTATTGCATGTCTTAAAAGTTCCTGTGGTGCACAGGGTGCCTGCCGGGACACACCGGTTGAAAATGCTGCACCAGGGAACCCAAAGGCGTTTGCTGTCTCCTCCCTGTAACTCAAGAACCAAGAATCCAGGCTGCAGGCAAACCACAAAGCTCAGTCTTAAAATTGCTACAGGAGGGCTCTTCTTTTCAGCAAAACCTCGATTTCCAAACCCAGCAGGCCTTCACCCGCAAAAGCAATCGTTCTCAGTTCCTGGTCACAAAGTGCCAAGCACGCAGCGGGCACCAGGCTGTCACGGCCTAGCAGCATGCTGATTAACACAGTTCCCATTTTGCAGGCGAAGAAACCGAAGCACAGAGAAGAGGCAGGAACTGCCAAGTTCACAAGGGAAGGCCATTGATGCCCTAATCCCAGGTGTAAAGATAAGTGTCCTCTCCTTTCTCCCTCCTCCCGCAGCCACTCCTGGCCCCCCGCTTGCTCTGCCACCACTGATCCCTTAACTGGGTGAAATCTCAGCAGGGCTCTTTAAACTCCATCCCAGGACCATTGCTGGGGCGTTCACTCTGCCAGGCCCAGGGGACAACGGGATGAGCAGCGTCTCTAGTTGAGCCACCAGCAAGCAGTCCCCATCATACCCCAGCCAGTCGGAGAGACTCAGTTAGTCCCGGGGAGGTGGAGAGAGCTGGGGTCCTGGGCCAGCCAGGGGCCGGTGCCTGGGAGGGAGCTCCCCGCTTCTCCCCGAGGCCCAAGAGCTCCTGCAGATGGACCATCCATGGAAACTCAACACCTGGGAGTGCTTTCTGGTTCAGAGACATTTACCTTCCATGGCCTCTTTTCATCTTCGTGGGGCCCTCTTTGTCCACGTCACTGATGAAGAAACTCAAGCTCAGAGAGGTGGAGGATTGGCCCGTGGTCACACAGCTGGATGCCGTGGACTCCGGCCTGTCCTCGGGGCCCCACAGCTGGGCCCCCCATCTCTCTAACCCCTCCTCTGCAGGGAGCAATGGCCCCTTAGGCCCAGAGGAAGGAGTCCATGAGAGGGGCGCAGTGTCTCAGACAGCCACCAGCATCCTCCATCCGCCTGGGGTGGTTATGATCGAGAGGCCTGGAGGCAGGGTGCTTGGGTTCGTATCCCAGCTTGGGCACTGGCTGCCTGTGACCTCGGGCTGAGAGGGCTGTGAGGACTGAATGAACCGATAGTCCTGAAGTGTTTATACAAGTGTCTGGCGATGGTTCTCAAGAAACACAGGCCCCATGGAGAGCCATGGCTGCAGGTTCTAACTCCTGCTTTTAAAGGCCTTATAAGCTTCTGTTCACATTCTTTGAGTCTGGAATCCACTTCTAAGGACCTCTCCTGAGGACGCAATCCCAGCTAAGCAGGGACTAAACTAATAAAGGCCCAGAGATGTTGGTTACATACCAGGACAGCACCGTAAAGTCACACTCACTCCTACCGCAGGGAAATGCTCAGTCAACGGGTGTCACTCAACAGAGCCTCACTGAGCTCTTGGGCTGCTGCTTCCAAAGACTTCAGAGTAACAGGAGAGAAGGCTTTTGTTTTCATGCCAAGTGAGAAAGGCCAAACAGAGAACTCTAAACTCAGAACGAGGTCAGGCTTATAAAAACAAAACAAGCAGATACAAAATGTGTACAGAAAACAAGATGAAAGAAAATGCATGGGCTATGGCCAGTGATGATCTCTGAATAAGAGGAATATGTGTGTGTCCCCCCCCCCTTTCTATCTGTTGGCAGTTTCTAAAGGCTCGATAATGAGCAGGTATGGAACGTTTCTAATGGGAAAGAGCTCAATAAGCTACTT